AACTAAATGAACGTAAAGGATATTACTTACCGGCCTAGTTGTCCATTGCTGTACATAGAAATTTTTTCCATTCCACTCGATTGATGATCCACTGTCTGCAGAGTAGGGTATTTTGGAACTGAGAGGTTCAGTACCGATAATACCGGAAAATTACCGAAACCAACGGATTTTAAGAAAAGTAAATTAATATCGATTAAAAAAATAAAATAAAACACATTTATTAAGTTCCAACAGAGTTCATTAAAAATGCTTTACTAATATCAACAAAAAGCTTTTGTATGATAATTTATTAACTAGAGAAAGTTCTAAAGACGAAAGGTTGATAGTTCCGTTAGATTACAGCAGTATGAACATAAAATAGACGTTGAAATTGAGCGAAAGGCCATTAAGGTGATTCCTTGTAGAGTCAAAAAATGGCCACCACGTAGGCTATATATGCACTTCTACTTTGAATTTTGAATTGCACAAATCTCGGAAATCAGTGCCCCATTTCATTTGAAATTGCTACTTTATGTATGCTGCAATGCAGCAAACATAGAGTAACAATTTGAATGTTGCACGTGCCGTATAAGCTGATATTTGTGCACTTAAAGTTTCGTAGTGGTCACAAGAATAAGGATGTCACAGCGTATCACCTTAATGCGACAGTACTAGTCAAAAGAACATTCTTTACCTAACCTATACATTAATGAATGAGGGTTAGGTAAAAGAGTGTGCGATTGACTAGTACTGTCACATTAATGGCCCTTCGCTAAACATCAACATCTATTAAATTTTCATACTACCGTACTCTAACGGAAATATCAACCTATGGTCTTCAGAAATTTCCAGCCATGTTTCGGGTACCCCCGGGCTAAGGCGGATAATCCCAGGTGGGTTGGAACTCACTGTTGGTGTTGGTGTTGGTGAGTAATTTGCCGCTAATGTTCATGAAAAATTCACTATTTTGCCATAAACAGTGCCAACAAAATTTACGGGCGGATTTGGACAGATTTGGACCTGTTTCATATGACCAAAAGGAGTATGCTGGCCACAAATGCCATACCAAATTGATTTCCTACACAAGTGATGTGAATTTCGCGAATAAACACGAGGAGGATTGATTATAGCCAAACCTGCCATATACAATCGTCATAGTTCATTTTAGCGTTAGCGTTAGCGTTAGCGTTAGCGTTAGCGTTAGCGTTGTTATGATATACTTCGTAGATTGGATACTAGCGGCACTCACGTCTCTTCTGAAATTCTCAGTTAGACTACTTTCAGGAATAATGCTGAGGAGTAAACATTGGTTCCAATCTAAACAAGAGTAACAGAAGCATGACTGTCGCTATTCCCGGCCACGCCCATCTTTACCGTAAATAGGGATAGGGAAGGAAATGTTGATGTAGTACTAACTTAACGAGAGGCCACCGACTTAGCGACACCCTCATAAGTGCTACGGAGTTGGAGGGTTGGGTAGGGTATTCGGTTAGGATTCACCTCAAGTTGGCGATGCAACCAAAAGTATGTATTGTTAATTTGTTGTTTATTTAATCTCTCGATATCCGGCTACCAAAAGAACATATTAATTTTGCTTAGTGATAATGAATTTTAAGAGTCATGACGGAGAGCTTGGGATTAAACCCATGATTTTCTGCTCAGTAAGCAAAAACGATCCCTCGAGGGTCATCGAGCATTTTATAATCCACAGCGCTTTGAATAACTATTATTTACGATAATTACATGAAATAAATAAAATATAAACTACAAACAAAACGTGACTGCTAAAATCTCAAAAAGATATTCTCACAAATATATTTCACGCCACCAGGAATCTCAAAACCATTAGACGTTATAATGATACTCTACACATGTTAGACACAAGAAGAGGCCAAAAAGCAAGCACCTGACACACAAAACCCTTCAAATCCACTTGCAGTCACAATCAACGATTCTACGAATCGCGAGCGCTCACGAATCATAAAACAGCTGACTGTGACACTCTGAAAGCGAAATTGACAGGCTCTATGCGTCAAACACCCGCCTTCCAATCTCCTCCCGCATCCAACAGCACAAATCTTCATTACAACATCTAACGAATTCAAAACTCCGAAAATCACTCATCTATAGCAAGTGAGTGGAAGCAACCCTGCATGCAACCATTCTTCATGATACACTTTTTCTGCCTATCTTTCTATTAGGCCTGTGAACATGCGTTAGCTTCGAAACTTCTAACCAAACTGGGTAAATTTTCAAATCACAAAAAAAAACTTGACAAAAACTTTCAAAGATAATTACAAGTAAAATAAATGTTGATTATTTTACGCAAAAACGAGCAATTAATATTAAATCTCTTGTATCATATGCTAATGCAAATTGACTGTAACAAAAATAATGTGCTTAAATAAAAAAATATTAATAAAATTATATGCAAAATTTACAAGAAGATCATTACTTTATTGGTGAGAAGTTTTTAATAAGCCCTCCCAGTTCCTCTGTATACAGAACAAATCTGATACTATAATCAAAATTGCTCAGTCTGCATGAAGCAGCCGATTTCATCAAGGAAGCTCTATTAACAACCAAGAATTAATCGTTTGAAGGTGATATGTGTCACTATAGGAAATCATCATCGTTGCAAATATAAAGAAATCAAACATAACACTTTGCTTCAGTATCGTCAACCTCCATGTCCATGGGGAGGGTACAATCGTCATAGTTCATTTTAGTACACAAACTAACACTTCTTTCTTCTGTGGCACCTTTGATTATCCGCCTCACTCCCGGGCAAGCATAGGAAAAATCGTTTCATTTTGCATTTACTACTTACTCAAACGCATACACCATTAGAAACGCTTGCATGAACGCAGAATTGAGCAAAACAGATTGCTGAGCGTAACATGAATGATTTTTATATTACATTGTGGATGATTCTTCACTTATTATATTTTGCATGCTGAGCCTTTTACTATTGCATTCTGCTGAGTGAGCTTAGTAAGAATGTTGCAGAAAGAATCACTTTTTATTTTCTAGTTTTAAACATGAATTCCGGAGAACTTCGAGATAAGGGCGTAATTGAAATGCAAATAAACATTCCAATCGACGTTTTATCGAGAATTAAAGCTCAATCTTAAAAAACTAATAACACATACAGGTAGAGGAATGATTCTAATTTGATTTAGTATAGTTTGTTCGCGAGATTGATCTTTCATTCGTGTGAAATCGGTGATAGACGTGTTTGTTTACAAAAGCAATGACGCCCAAATCTCAAAGTTCTCCGGAATTGTTACATTTAAATTTCTTACATGGAGACAAGTATTATACCTATTGTAACGAAAATAAAAATATCTCACTCGGCTATTTATATCGTTAGCGTTCGGTTTTTACCCGTTCAATCGGGTTCTCCCTCGGTTGAGAACATTGTTCGGCTGTCATTCAGTTTATCCTTCATTCCTTATACTGCTGTCAGTTCCGAGCCTACTTAGGCTCTGAACCATTTGGCGATTTTTTTTAACTTTTGGTTAAAATTTGACAGATGGAAAGTTATCGATGAACCCTGCTATCCGAGCATGGTTATTTCTGACAGACAAGAAGTTAAATTTTGACAACCGTGGCTCGAAGCCGGGAAAGCCATGGGAAGTGAGCAGTTGATGATTAAGCTCAAAATCCATCATAAAATATGTTTAATCACATGAAAATTCAAAAACCGTTTCAATAAAAGACATGTTGAATTCCCAAGGTCGCGCTGGTCATGTCAGGCCATGTATTAGGAACCCAGAAGAGGTGGTCAGTTTCTGAATTGGATCAAAACCGATCATGCGATACCTCAAATCACATGAAAATTCATAATATGGTTCAATGGTAGGCATTTAGAGTGCTCAGGCGACATCTGGACATAATCTGAGTGTCTCTAGAAAAGTGGCCAGTTTTTAGAAGGGTTAGATCTCTACATAAGTGGATTAATTCTGTTTTAATTCAACTAGCACGATGATGTCTTCCACAAACGAATTGGGAAGATTGCTGGTGATCCGGTAGTCTTCCCACTTCGTTTGTGGAAAGCATCATTTAACAGCAGATTGAAGCTGTATCCAGACCTAAGCGATATTGGCACGAGCGGGGGAGATTTGTGTTGGTAAGAGAGAGAAAGCTAATTGTCTCTCTCATAACAATGAAAATCTAGGTGAGCATTCTATGCCAAACAATGGATTAATTTGTGTGTAGTGCAGTAAACACAATGTAACTCTATATGAATAGTGTTCAGATTGGACTAACAATCAAACCTGGTGGGGTTTAGTTTAGTTTAGTTGTTGGTGAGGCTTAGTGCTTATATTACCTTTTTTATCGTATCTGAACCTAAAACTGCAAAACCTTTCCACACATTTATTTTGGATTTGATAAAGAGGCACACATTGTCTATAGTTTGATAAAAATACAACACTGCGTCTTCATTCCAAACTCAGTCTGCGTGTTTCAGTTTTGTACAATCATATTGAAACGTTATTGGATTTACTTCCTTCTATAGATAAAGGAAACATGGATTCGCTATGAGCACTTCTATTGTATTTGAGAAAAATTAATGTAAACATTTATTCTATGTGTTATTAAAAGCTATGTGTTGTAGCTTGAACTACAGTATCGTACCAAACAAATGATAAAATCGTTCATGCCAAAATCATAGACATATTTGACGTTATATAGGACGACAATGGGTGCTTAGACCAAAGTAGCTCTCTACGTTATACGAATTAATTTCAAAAGATTGCATGACCAATCTACAAACCTATATTTACACACACAAAAAGGTACAGGTACACGCATTGCTTCATTTATTTTTCATTGCACCTAATGAGTTTCCACGGACCTGGTATACGAATACAAAAACAGTTTCTAAAAGGAATGTGCAAAAAAGCTTCAACTACGGTAGACTATTTGTTTATGATGTGACCAGTCTCTACAGTTTAGTTGTACCGTTCTTCAGTATCAGTGGCTTAACCGGGAGCAGAAAAATAATTCCCTAGAAGATGGAAGCTTTGGATAAATTTATGCTGTACACAAAATACGTGCGAGGTCTTTGTTCTGTTATAGGATTAGATGTCTTGAATCCTGATTTTAAGCGAGGGTTTCGAACATATTTTACATTTTTTTTGATGGGTGTTTACGTCGTGCTGTCATTAAATTCTCTATTAGCAGCAGAAAACAGCACGGAAGTTTTAAAAGCACTGTCGTTTGGAGGATTTTTTCTGCAATGTTTATTAAAATTAATTTTCACAATGGCAAATCGAGATCAGTACCACGTAAATCACTCTAATTTAAAAGAATCGATATATTTAAAGTATCTGGAAGGGACTGACAAACAGAAAAATGTGATTTTGAACAATGTATCGCAGCTTCTTCTATTAGTCAAAGGAACATCACTGCTATATTTTTCGTCACTTATATTATTTTCCATCTATCCGGCCTACATGTATTTCATCGAGGAAGTAAAAGTACCCATATTTCCTCTTCTTGTTCCTGGAATCGACATTTATTCAGCATATGGGTATGGATTTACAAATATGATTCACATGATTCTAGCTGTTTATGGATTATTTGGTGCTTTATCATCGGATACCGCTTTTATGATGTTCATTTTTCATATAGTTTCATACACCGATCTCTTGAACATTAACTTCGTTTCATTTGCTGAAAAGATATGCTGTGTAGAGGAGAAGTACAGAACTAAAGATTATGCTAAATTTTGTCGAGTAGAAATGCGAAAATTATATTTGAACCATAAGGCCGTAATCGACTTCCTGACCTCACTTCAAATGTGCTACGAAAGTATTTGCGTGGTGCAAGTGGTATCATGTGTTATAACAATTTCGCTGAACCTTTTACTCGCATTGATGGTAGTTATGGTGTAGGAATTCAGATTCCACTTTTGAAATTTCAATTATTATTTTTTTTTTATATTCCAGTCTGATTGGTATGCAACGTATGGATTCCTAATTGCATCAGTTTTTCAACTATTCATTTATGCAGTTCTAGGAACGCTTATTCAGCTCATGGTATGAACTATATCATACATAGAAATAGCATGGTACGATAGAATGGTGGATCAAATCAATTTTTCTGCTTGACAGTTTGACACAGGGGAGCTAAGTAAGAGCAAGAGAAAATAATAAAACTAAATATTCGTTGACATTCTACACGGCCAATGAAACTAGCTCAAGATCGTAAAAAGTGGGGTTTACATTACTCATTTTTGAGTAAAGTTTCCCTAATTTCCACAATTTTGAGGAAACTTAACATAAAATGGTGTAATTTAGAAAACTGAGTAATATAATATACCATACCACTCAAGCTAAGGCCTTGATGACCCTTATTACGAGTGTCACTTCTCGGTGAAAACGAAGTGATGTGACCAGTTTTCACTCACGGTGAAGTGATTGCCGTGTAAATCAAATGGGAATCACTTCATCGTGAGTGATAACTTGTTACTTCACCGTGAAGTGACATCGGTAATAAGGGCCGATATCCTCTGTAATCCGAAGAAGTTGTATCTACACTGCTCGATTCAGTTTCCACACGTCGCCAGCCTCGTAGTCTGCGAAGGGTTCACTGGTCGCCTTCTACTTGGTCGATCCACCTTGCCCGCTATGCGCCTCTTCTTCTTATTCCAGTTGGGTCGCTTTCGAATGATGTAAGCACCCGTATAGCTGGTAGATCACCTTTTCGTGGTGCGTTACTGGGTGTAAGATCTACCATCGAACCCTAGTCCTGACTACTTCTAACCTAGGGGGAGAACTGGGGTATAGATTTAGATTCAGATTTTGATCCAGTCGTTGATTGGTTTATTTTCAAGTTTAAGATTGTTTTTTTTAATGAGTACAAAATTACTATCAGAACTGTTTGTATTGATTTAGCATGGAACATGTTTATTTATCAGCGATTGCAGGAGTGAATGAAGAACCTGCGAAGGAGAATAATAAGTAACGAAAAGGAATAATATAACATGCACTAAACTAAGGATACGGGATTTACTACAATAGATTTGACTACTGGTCGCAATAGTTTTATGTCCCGAGCAGAAGAAAAAAAGAGAGTTTTTTACGATTCTGAGTTAGCGTCATCGGCCTTTTATTAAAAATTTATCTTAAGCGAAGTTAAAACTGCGAAAATTTCATTTAAACAAAGATAGTAAGTAATATGAGAAGTGACACGAGAATAATATGGTGCATATCTTAATTGATGATTGAAGATCTTAATTGAAATGAACAAAAAGTTCACTTTCCCGTAATTATTTTTACATAAAATTCAGGGTCAATGTGGTTTGATATTGCAACCAGATGAAAGCTGATTTTAATTCGATTTTTCTGTGTGTAGCAAAATTGATAATTTGATCCACCTTAGGATACATATATTACAGATGTGAAAATAACAAAACCTTTTTAAATTCTCCTTTCAGAATGAACGCATTATAAAGTTGGTGTATGACGCTCCATGGCACCTGCTTCCAAACTCGGAAAAACGGTCCTTTCAGTTTCTAATGTTCAAAACACAACGACCGATTGAGATGTTTGTGAGGGGCTTGGGACCTTTAAATGTTGAAACATTTACCGAAATTATGCGAATGATTTATTCATCGTTCACTATGCTGTACAGTTTTATTGTTGAGTAAAAATAATGTTATAAAAAATCACGTGTCTCGTTTAATCATATAAACATAAATGCAAACCTATCAGTATGCATTAAAAAGTTAGTGAGCTTGCTGTAGCATGTTATTATTATTTAAATCCTAAGGTGATCATCACATTATTAACTTAAGAAGTATTCTCGTCATTAAGTTGTTCCTCCTACATTTTTTTATGTTTTAAGCCTATATAATGGCCGTCTATAAAATAAACACCAATACAAATACTTTATTCCTCCTGTTCAACTTGTCCTAAGTACCTGCTTAATTGTTCCGTTCTTCTGCTCTTCAGTGATTTCAAGACATTTTCTCAGACTTTCAAACGTATGAGCTGCTACCTGATGACATATGCGGACAACACCAGAACCTCCGTGGTGAATCTATGGTTCCGCTTCAGCATGCTACGCGTGTTAAAACGTCAACGCTCTGCTGTCCTCCGAAAGTATTGTAACTCTCGCTCGCCGTACTACAAACGGCTGTTCGTATTTATCGAAATAACAATCGTTTTCTCTATAATCGACACGTGAGACGCACCGAAGCGAACCTTCGCACGAATCCGAAAAGTTTTTGGTCGTTTGTCAACTCCAAACGGAAGGAATCCGGGTTGCCTTGTTCCATGTTTCTCGGGAATGACTCGGCTAATAGCAAAAGAGAAAATGGCGACTTGTTTGCTGGGCATTTCAGGCAAGTGTTTCACGATTTCTCCGCTTCGCCGGTACAAGTGCTGGATGCTTCTGTTGGGATGCCACGTGATGTGTTTAGTTTCGAATTCCGGCCATTTCAGAAGTCATAGTGATAGCCGCAACACGCAAACTTAAGCTCTCGTTCGCCGCTGGACCTGATGGCATTCCGTCATCAGTTCTAAAACGTTGTGTAGCCAATCTCTGCCTTCCACTTGCGAGGCTATTCAATCTTTCGGTACAGCAATGTGAGTTCCCCTGCCGCTGGAAACTGTCTTATCTGTTCCCAGTCTACAGAAATGGAGATAAACGGAATGACGCAAATTATCGTGGAATCACCTCCACGTAATGTGCCTGCTCAAAACTGTTCGACATTATCATAAATGATGCTCTGTTCGCGTGTTGCAAAAATTATATCGATACAGAACAACACGGCTTTTACCCGAAGCGGTCCGTGTCCACGAACCTGATGCAGTTTACTTCTAACTGTTTGCGATGCATGGATTCAAGATGGTAAGTCGATGCTGCGTATATGGATCTAAAAGCGGTGGATCATAATATCTTGCTTGCCAAGCCGGAGATATTTGGCGAATCGTCAACGGCTGTCAACGTCAACGGCTGTCAACGTCAACTGCTGTCAACGTCAACGGATTGGTTCAGATCTTACTTGGTGAATCGCTATGTACGGCTTAAGATTGGCGCGTCGAAATCGGATGTTTTCTCAAACAACTCGGGAGTTCCGCAAGGCAGTAACCTAAGACCGCTACTGTTTTCGATCTTTTTAAACGACGTTGCCTTTCTGATATCACCAGGATGCTACGTTTTCTATGCAGACGATACGAAAATCTACAAAACTATTAAAAGTCTCTCGGACTGTTGGGATCTCCAGAATATGTTAGGTATTTTTGCTAACTGGTGCTCAAGAAATTTGATGAGTCTAAGCATCGAAAAATGTAACATTATTTCCTATCACCGTAAAATCGAACCAATCATGTTTGACTATGTTCTCTACGGACGCTGTCTTGCTCATGTAGAGCACATAAAGGATCTCAGCGTTACTGCAGACTCACTTTCAGAATCCACTACAATGACATCATCTCCAGAGCTAATCGACAATTGGGATTTATTTTCAAAATTGCTGACGAGTTCCGTGACCCGCTATGCCTCAGGTCACTCTACTGCTCGCTTGTGCGATCCTTATTGGAGTCAAGTTTAGTTGTTTGGTGCCCTTTCCATGCTAGCTGGATCACTAGAATTGAATCCGTTCAACGCAAGTTTGTGAGATATGCTCTTCGTTTCCTCAACTGGCGTGACCCAACAATCTTGCCACCGTACGAGGAGCGTTGCCGTCTCATAGGAATCGAACCATTAGAGGTCAGACGGACGATCGTTCAAGCTATGTTCGCTGGAAAGCTGCTTACGGGTGACATTGACTGTCCAACACTGCTGACTCAGCTATAGAATATGTACGCCCCTGAGAGGCCTCTTCGTCAACGTGACTTTCTGTTTTTGGAACCACGGCGCCAAAATTATACACATACACAGGAAGTCCATCCGATCATTTCGACGATCAAAGGAAGAGGCATCACAAATTGAGTTCTCCAAGCAGGATCTCACGAACACTACACTAATAATATAATTTTACACACACTCAAAAAATATTAAAATCTAAATAGTATAAAAGTTACGCTAAATCGCAACTCTCCGTACCGACGCAAAGGTCGGTATAAAGGGAGAGAATGCAAACTTAGTATAAAAATGGTTTATGCGTGCCATAGTATAAAATCGAAATATACTTACTTATACTTATTTGAGAGAATATGTTTTTCGCTTCTGTATTTTATTTATGATAAATATTATTGTTTTCAAATGAAAATTAAAATTGTCTCAGGAAGGTTTTTATTTTTTTTTATTTTTATGAATATTATTTAAAAAAATACTTACAATTTTCTAGCTGCCCAACAGATCACAGGCGCAGTAGAAATCCGCCGGGATGAAGCTCTTCACCAGCACTAAGCTCCGAAGAGAATCCATATGTTCTTTTTCCTATCATTTTAGTAAACACTGATCGAATTCCACTCCGTTATTCGGACTTAGTATAAATTTGACGAAAATTTTAATCAATTTTTAAAAACCATAAAATGCATAAAATTTAATCTATATTCGTTTTGTAATATTTTTGAGTGCACACTAGCGTATACTGTCATGTGCACGGTAAGAACCTAAGATCTATTGATGAAAGTTACCCGATTGTCAATAAATGTGGCACTACTAATTAATGAGTAATTAATTATGCCAATTAAGTAGTAACTGTTAGCTACTGTTAGCAGAAACTCATTGTTGTTAAATTAATTTACTCATTAATGAGTAAAGCCACTTTTATTAAAAATGGGTTAACTTTTACTCATAAAATGGAATTTGACTGTTACCGTGCAGCGTAGGATTTGTTTTCGTTTTGTTGTTTATTTTTTACTTTAGAATGACAGTTCTTACAGCAAACAAAAAATTTCTCACAGCTAACAAGAAATTTCATCTCACTAACACACGCAAATCGTACCAATACGATCCCGCCTGGAGAGGACTATATCCAGAACCCAATAATAATCCGCCGTCTCCCTTGTCGAACTGCCAGTGTCAATCAGTGAGGTGCATGCATCAACTTTCTGCTGCTTGATTGCCAGCTTCCTCCCTTCCATGTCCAACATTTTCTCCTGCAGTTCCAGTTTGCGCTTCATGTGTTCCTTCTTATCCGCTTGCATAGATTCAAGGCATTTGAATACATACGATTCCATGTTTTGAATTTCTGTCTCCGAATAACGTTGGCCTCTACCGAGTTGTCTTCCGGTTTCAGTAGCTGCTGTTTCTCGTGGACGCACACTTGTTGCCAGAATTACAGGAGAAACTGGTGCTGGATTGTCATTCACCCCTCCTGCTGTTGGTGATGATGGTGCGGAGCATGTCGTTATGTCAGCTAGTTGAAAAGGTGGTATTCCGCTACCACTAGCTTGAACGTTCTCGAATACTTCTTCCAGGAATTCGCAGTTGAAGCTACCCTGGGCATCATCATCGGCTGGCACATCAACTGGAAGAGTCTAGTAAAAATCAAATTTAGTAAAAAAGCGCAGAGGAAAATAATAACAAATATTGTCTTACCGATTCTTTGAAACCACCTTCTTGCGTTTCGTCATCGTCGTCAAGAGTATCCTTCTGTATGACAGCAAGAACTATCTTCTCAAGTTCTGAGGGAACGTATCTTTTCTTTTTTAACAGTCCAGTCTTCCCACTCTGCCGATTCCGAATAGTCAATCACTTCGTTTTCGTTTTTTGCTCTAGGTCTCACCATGAAAGCTCCCATTTCTCCGGTGTCTTTGTAGCACCTCCAAGAGCATTCAACATGTTGCTCAAATCCATTCCATTTTGGGTTTTGGAGCTGTTTCCCCCGAATGGATTGAAATCACGAATTCCAAATTATCCGCCATGTAGTCCACCATGTACTTTTTTGTTCCATCTACATGTATTTTTTGAGCCTGCAATTAATAATTAATGCCGATTAATTGAATAATACAAACCCAATCGTTCACTTACGTTGTTGTTTCTGCCATTATCAATAATTTCTTTTGCTTAATAGAGTTTTTCTTTGGTTTGTCACGGCTTATTTTCAGTAAAATTAAACTGCATTTGTTGAAGCACAACCACTTGTTTACAAACGTGAACTTTTCTGGTATTACTTTACAAAAGGTCTTAATGACTAAGTGGATTTAAACAAATATAAGATAGTTTTGTCAACTCAGATTGTTATTTTGTTTTTATAAATAGATTTTGACGTCGAACAAACTAACATGAAAGAACTTTTTATCGCTAAGTCCTTAAAAATGGAATATCAATAAAAGAAGCTTCTCTTATTGATGATAGGCAGATTTGAAAAATCAGTCTGGGAATACCTATCATAGACATCTGGCGGAAAACATGTGAACGATAATTTTTCTTCCGATGAAGTTAGTTGTTCCTCTTTCTCTTTGCGCTTCCGGAATTCGGCGAAAAGCAATGAAAATTTTTTGAAGAAAAAGACATTTATAATACTTCTTTTCTTATAGAGATTCCACAGACAGACAGACATAACACTCGCTAATTTTTCATCGAACAAGCATTTAACGGTCAATTTAAAAGTATCGTAGTTGGTAGTACCACCACCTGTGGCGCGCATAGTCAATTCCCTTGCGTTTGACGTTTACACACTACCGCCATCTGTTCAGCGTAGTGCCCACCACAGTGTACTCAACAGATGGCGGTAATGTTTTAGCGACGATG